TGAAATTCCTGGTGAAAAAAGAATAGAGGCACAGGTCAGGAAGTGAAAAGTGCACCGAGACTCATTGCCTCAGGGAAAAGAAACCGATCTGTTCTGCGCATCATCTTGCATCACTATAAACAGCTACCAAACATGAAGCAGAAAAACCCTAAAAATCATTTAGGCTTGTTTTTTTCTTCTGTGATACAAACAAATGAGATCAACAGAGCATGGTAGAGAAAATCAGAAAGCCCACTTGGAGAACTCCTCTAATCTGCCACCACACAGTAGGTATTGTAACAGCTTTAGGTGACTGAGAAGTGTCTCTTAGATTTCAGATAAAGTTGTGACACTTGGAAGGGTAAACACTTCATATTTTAGAGGAAAGAGGATGTTTGCTGAGGTCTGGGGGGAGTCCCTTGAGCAGGAACAATTGTAAAGCTTAACATAGTGTACCTAGGTAAGTTGTGGGTTAATGATTGCAAAGGAGCAGGGCAGAAACAAACAATATAAGGTCACATTAAGAGCACAAGGAGGGGGAAGAAAGGAGAAGCAGGCAACAAGGAGAAGAGAGAGGAGTCCAGAGGAGTTGGGACTTGAAGCTTTCACCAGGCGAGAGCCCCTGCTTCATGATCATCCAAATCAAACCTGACTGGAGCTCAGTATTTGAACCTTGTTAGAGAGAGCCTGCTATTCTGTGTTTAGGGAACTTGTGTTTCCTGAGTAAAACATACCTCAGTTAGAAACGTCTTTCCTGCTTAGGGTGCATTTTTATGGATAGGGATATAGGCTCCCATTTATTTTGTTGCATCTGGGGTGCAGAGAGAGAGATTTAACTGCAGGTTGCTTTGTATTTAGTTAGAAGGCAGCTCATCTCTTATGTAGGCGTATTAAGAGTTTAATGCTAAGTAGCAGTGTGGGGTTTTCTGGATGACCAGAATGTTAGGCCTCTGAAATGCCTTGTTTGTAAATACTGTACATAGATTAACTTGTGTGTTGTATGTTTTGTTGTGTGCCATATAGTTTGTGTCTTGTCATTGCAATAAATATTTGTTGAACCAGGTGTGCCTGGATTATTACTCCTCTCAACACAGCTGTGCCAGAGAATAAAGAATTCATGTGCCTCTAATTATACGAGCCACTTGGGTATATTGGTAGAAATCACTTACAAGTTGGGGGTTATGAATAAGTATTTCACTTATTGACTAAACTGCTCGGTCAATTGCTGATTTTTACCAGTTTCGTAACCCCCCATTTGTAACAGTATGTTACATGAGCTCCTCAGAAAAGTAAGTTCAACTTACTTGATATAAATATGGTGATATAAAATTATTACTATTAGGGGTGATATAAAATTAATGCCCAATATAAACAGTAATCATAAAAATTTCAACGATATAAAAGTCACATATCCATGATTGTTTTGTTCCACATCTTCACTTTCTTGAAGAACATTCAGAGTTATTCGCAGATCTACACACTTTCTAATCCCTGGTAACTAATAGCCAGCATGGACTTCAACAAGAAATTGAATATTACAACTGACTGAAATTGTAATGTTTAAGTTTGTTATTCCCCTATTATTCCAGGAGATTGTATATTTCTGCAATAATCTTCTCTCTCTGCATTTAAGTACAACACTGTCCTATCTTCATGGTTATCATTAACAATTATTTAGTAATTATATTTAAAGCATTTTGATGATTTAAGGAGCTTATGATTTAAAAATGTCTGGTTTTCTGCTGCAGTCTAAACACATACTAGTAAGTTAATTGGTACTGGTGTGAGTGTGTGTGTGTCTGTGTCTGTGTGTCAACCCAGTGATGGACTGGTGTCCGGTTTAGGCTGTATCTTGCCTTGTGCCCATTGCTTGCCAGGATCTCTCATGGCACTGTATCGGATAAAGCTGTTTGAAAATGGATGTGTGGATGATTTTAAAATAATTCCCAAAACAGAGAATCGCAATCCCTAACAGCTGGAGTTTGTACAACACAGTGGATTTTCTGTTTTGAAGCACACAATCTCAGTACCCACCATCTGCTTTGCCCACATCAGATACTGCTGGAAATAGTCTATTCCTCTGTCCAAGATGCACTGGGCATGCTGCAAGAAACACAGCACAACTGTATTGGTCTAATAGCAACTTCACACAGGAGCAATTACTGTATAATGTTATGTTTAACATAAAAACTAAACTATGCTGAATATTATTTTAGTACGTGCATTTAGAAAAATTACTTAAAATGTCTGCCATGTTAACAAAGTCTTCATTTCTTTGAGAAAAGGATCCATTGGGAGTGTACTTGAAAGAACAGAAAGTATATTGCATCTTTTATAGCCCAAATTAGAAAAAAAAACTATTTTTGTGGCCATGATTTGTTAATTTGTGCCTCCCAGCTATACATTAAAAATTGCAAGGCTGTAAAAAAACTTACATTTTGCACAATCAGAGGCACTGTTGAGTTGATTTTATTCTGAGTGTCGTTGATACTCTGCAGGGCATTGTTGATATTCCTCTGGAAGAGACAGATTAGTTTAAAATTGTTTTGTCTGAATGATCAGAATAAACTTTAAAATTCTTTAGCTATACTAAACATTGTGCAGTAATGTTTCCTTGCTTTACTAATCATGCTTTGAAATATAGGTGTGCTTCCTTACTCCCTGGCATCAGGACCAAGGTTTAATTACATCAGCTATGATTTGAAAACCCTTAGATTCAAAGGCACTGTACACAGAGAGGGAGAATAAAAAGTAAAAGCTGTACCTGGAGGTCTTTACTGATATAAGATAATGCATCAACACTTGCATTCAACCTTTCCTGTGAAAACAAGGAACAAAATTTCCCTAGTCAAAATTAAAATTATATGAACAAAAGAACACAGAAATGGTTACAAACTAGATGAGCCGATTCAGCCCAGCTAGCTTGTTTGGTAGTAAGCAGCTAATTGATCTAAGGATCTTGTCCAGGTGTTTTTTCGAAGGAAGCAAGATTACCAGCTTCCGGGGTAGCTTGTTCCATTCTCCTACAACTCTTTGGGTAAAGAAGCACCTCCCATTGTCAGCCTAGTTTTAAATGTCTCTTCAAAAAGAGCTCTCTAGGAGAGGAATCAATACCGAGCAGCGAGTTTAGGTGGTTTAAATAGAGCTGTGTGCCGCATGGTATAGCGTGTGCTGATGGATTAACATTTAATTATTATTAACCCATTGCTGGTACTGGTCAGCTCTCTTGTGGGCTGATCTCTGCTGGCTGGCAGTCGTGACACTGTGGACATAGTAGCAATATGCAGTATTAAGCTACCAATATTTGTTATGGCTTCTTAAATGATCAAACTATTTAACGCTGCTCTGACTGCTACTATTGTCCTGATTAATCCAGGATTTAACAATTTTGCATGGAACTGGATTGAAATGAACCACACTAGGTTGCTGGGAGGTTTATACGAATTTAATTTACTTTGAATTCAAAGTGATGGGGGGGTGGAGGGGGGTGATGAGGCTCTACTTATGTAATTTAAAATCTGTTTGATTTTAAGGAAATGTCAGCTAAGAAGGCGACATCACAGAAACCAATGAGGAACATCTGAATTGGGTGCATCCCTACCATTCACTAAGGTTTAAAAACTCTGCTCCTTTTGGTTTGCACTAGGTCAAATGTTCTAATTCCCCCATCTTGGACTATGGTCACATGTTGTTTACAAATGATCTCTAAAGCTGTTCTTGGATAAGCTGAAGTCTTACACCATTCTGCCTCCAGCTTTATCGCTGGTACCCCCAGTACATCGTTATGATCTTTGTTTTTAGATTGATTGACTCTCTAAGCCTACTAGATAACTGCTTCACTTCATCTTGCGCTTATGATACATATCGAATGTTTGGTTTTCTGGTCAGAATAAGGCTTATCTTGGAGTGCTGCAATAGTGTGGGTTGTTAGGGATTGATCATGGAGAGCTGTTATAACATAAAAACAAACTAACAGGTTACAGACCAGAAGAGGGCTTTTGTCCATTTGCAGGTCATTTGGTTGATGGGAGATAATTGATCTTAGCATCTCAACTAGCTGTAGTTTTGAACGCAGCCTTAGTATAGACTTGTTTTGTTCCATTCTTACACAGCTCTTTGTTTAAATACATACCTCATTTTTTCCTGTTCCCTGTGTACACAAGACCCTCATCTCGTTACACTATCCTTGTGAAAAGTGTAGAGGGTTACATTTTATGTTCAGATACCTAAAATAAAGCTCAGTGAAAAGAACATGACAAAAACACCACCTCACCTGATTTGCACAAGGGTCATAGTCGTTATGTAGTTGGATAAAGTTTTTCCAGAGTGGGCAAAACAATATTAAAATTAATTATTCAACATGCAATGGGGACTTACTGCATCTTTCTCCTGCTGTCTCACTGTTGTGTTGTGCAGGACTCTGATACTGATAGACTCGTTTTCCAGCTTTTGCTTACTGCTGTCCGTCTGAAAAAACACTGTGTTTCAGACAGTGCTACACATTGTGCTCCAGTCTACCACAATGTACAGGACTAAAGCATAATGTAGCAGAGTGAGAAAACCTCTAGGCTTGCATGGAAGTAACCACCTCAGGCAGGATAAGACAGACTGGTCTACTAATCCTTAAGAGATCATAAAAGGAAAAAGATGAAAGGAGAAGAAATACCCTAAATTGTTTAATTAAAACTGTTGCAATGTTACTTAATGAATTGTCATTGCTTTTTTATTTTTCAAGAGTCAGCTGTCCTGTTTTTGATAGATGTGATATGGGTAGGATGGTTCAGCTACGGTAAATTGTACTGCACACCATCGATACACCATCGACAAAGAAAAGAAGGAGAAAAAGCAACCCACTTTTCATAAACCCACTTTCAGCTGCAGAACATGCAGGAAAGGAAGACAGAGAGCAGAGGGATTAACACTGCGTCTAGATGTTCACTCACCTGCAGCTGGGCTGTTTGATTCAACAAGTCTGCAAATCCCAGCAGGTCTGTCTTCACCACCGGCCTGCTCAGCTGCAGGGAGAGTTCAAAGCACAGCAAAGCTGAGTGAGCCTCACACTCATGCAGCATTCAGACAGGCAGAGTCAGCCATCTCTCATGAATCTGATTCCTGGTGTAAAGAACAGCTGCTGTATATCTCTAAATGTGACAGTCATGGTTGGTAAAAACAGGGCGGAAGCAGTAATAAAGAAGCAGCAAAAACACTTCTTTCGAGCTCTTTTACACGATGGTGAGAAAACAGCAGAGGTCCTGTAACACATTTCCACCCTACCTGTGATTTCAGGAGAGTAAAGTTGATTTTATCGGCGCCGCTGTCTTTAAAATCTTCAAAGCTTTTTTTGTCTTCATCAGACAGCAACCTCAGTTCACTGAGATCCACGGACAGGTTCAGGACCTGATTCTTCAAGTCCCCTGAGTACTGCAAGATGGAGGAGGCCAGGGGTAGGGTAAGAGAGGAAGGAATCAGAAAAGAAATAAAGAGGAGGAGTAACAGAAACTTTGGAACAAAAGAGTTTTTATTACACAATTAATACATAAGATCTTAATTAATAAGATAATTCAGGAGCAGAAAAAGATATAGCAGGTAAAGTTGTGATGTTATAGGATTGCTATTCATTTTTTTTAAATGAGAAAGGGATCCCTCTGCTGGACACAGCTGGTACATGTAAAAAATCCAATTACCTTGTCAATACTGAGGATATCGTTAAAATCCAAGATCTGACTGTGGTGCAGGTAGTCATACATTGACTGCCCCTCCTCACAGGTCCTGCAACAAACAAAAGCGATCTCTCAGCCTCCTGGCACAAAGGTATTTATCAGTGACATATCTGTAAAGCATGAATGAAAATGTAATCTACTGGTTTTTGTGCATATATCACCAAGCCCAAAACCAAAGGCACAGACACAGCCATGGGTGCCGAATAAAGAAAATGGAATCTGCAGGATAATGTAGCCTCTCTCCTTTTCTGTAATGTTCTTGTTCTTATGCAGTAGGGAAAGAAAGACCATATATGTTTGCCTTTTTACTGTAGACAATCTAGAATGGTTATACTAATATTATATACAGTATACACATACACATTATATATATATACACCCTGTATGCTTGAAATAATAATAATGACAAACTTTGCAGTGTAAATTCAGAGAACCTCACATGTAAAATTTAGAGAAACTGAAGTTAGTTCCCAGGATCTCGCTGATATTCAGTCCCACCGGTAGCAGGTTTTGTGAGCTGTCCAGAAACTGGTGCAAAGAGAGTACAGGAGACAGGTCAGCACAGACGGAGATTATTTCTCCACAACAAGCAATAAATTAATTGACAAAGAGAAATAAAGAGGAAAAGAGAGAATGCTGTCATTTTTTAGTTAGGTAGAGCAAAAAAACATTTTCAAATCCCCCGTTAAGCAAAAGGCACTGTCCAACACATATTGAAAACACATACTGAATTCCAGAGACACAGTTACTGATACTTGTAAAATAAAAGACCAGTTTAACCAGGTTCACTGCTCTTGGAAAGAGGTCTCCTTGCCTATATTGAAACAGCCCTTTGGACAGGTAATAGACTTATCTTTAAAACTCCAGCAGCTACTGTATATGTCTCTACAACTCACAACTGGCAACCCACTGAAGCTCAGCAGGTGTCGACCTGACCAGTACCTGGATGGGAGACCTCCTGGGAAAACTAAGGTTGCTGCTAGAAGAGTTTAAAAACACTAGGGACCAGTAGGGGCGTTCACCCTGTGGTCTGTGTAGGACCTAATGCCCCAGTATAGTGACAGGGGCACTATACTGTAAAAAAGATGCTGTCCTTCAGATGAGACATAAAACTGAGGTCCTGACTCTCTGTGGTCACTACAAATCCCAGGCAGGTTCTCGAAAAGAGTAGGAATGTTACCCTGGTGTTTTGGCCAAATGTCCCCCTGGCCTTTATGTATCATGGCCTCCTAATAATCCCCATCTATGAATTGGCTTTAGCACTCTTTTCTCCTCCCCAGTGATAGTACGTATGGCTGCCGTCGCATCATCCAGGTGGGGCTACACATTGGTGGTGGTGGAGGGGAGTCCCCCCATTATTTCTAAAGCGCTTTGCGTGGAGTGTCCAGAAAAGTGTGATATAAGTGTAAGGATTATTATTTATTTAAAACTCCAATGAGCCAAAGACATTTCCAGAGAAAAGGAATGGGAAATAATACTACCCAAGAGCAAACAAAGCCACAAACAAAAGCAAACAAAGATACTAGGTTAAATTACTGCAAAGATCTCCTTGTTGTGCCAGCTCCTGCAGCCCAAGGTATAGACGTTCCCTCCCACCACAAAGGTGACGAAAACCGTTAGCATAAACAGCCAGGAGAAGATGAAGCTGAAACCAACCCCCCTACAAAGAAACAAAGCCGGATAAAGACACAGCTTTAGTGAATGCGTGGCAGTTCCAGCACAGTGTAAACTGTTTATAGGGCAGGGAGACTGTTGCGTGGAAACTTTGCAGAAAATGTATGTGACATTTAGGCTATAAGGTATAGTGTTATCACATACTGTATGGAAGTCTGTCGAACTAAGAGGTTCATTCTAAATACATCCTGATCCTAAAACATGTGCTTCTCTAAAACTGATTCATGGTAAGTGAGAGAAGGGTTTTGAAATATATACAGGTAAGCTGCTTGTGAACGTCAGATTGGCAGAAACAATTTTAAAGGAACAGGTAAAGTTTATTCTTTCCTGAAAAGAGAAAAGAAACACAACGTTTCGGCTGTGGATCCTTCTTCAGATGTGATCCTTCACGCTGTGTTTTTTTTCCTTCTCTTTTCAACATGGAATAAACCTTTCCTTGTTCCTTTGCAGCCTACACATGCTGACGCAGCTCCCCATTTAAACATCAGAAATAATGTCTCGTCTTTCTATTATCCAAAGAGGCCTTTTCCTAACAGATTAAACCTCAAAACTTCAGTTAACTGCTGTGACTTCCTGCATCCACACAGCTTGATGCACAGCAGCTGTGCTGATGGCATAGGACTCTCAATGCGAAATCTAGAATGGGAGTTCAAGAATCAAGGTCACACATAGAAACCAGCAGGTTCCCAGCTATCTGATAATGTAGTTACAGTTTGATTTTGCAATACGTCTTGTGTGTATATTCTGAAGTTCTGTGAAGGCACAGCTGGTCCAAGCAAAATGTCCACTTTGTCTGGACCACATTCCCCAGAAGCCTTTGAGGAACGAACTGCTGTTGCCATCAGTCACCTGATCAGTTTCAGGGAGATGATTGGTTAAGAGATTACTTAAACTGCTGAAAGCAGGTTTTTTTCTGGTGGTGGTGGTGGTGGTAGTCAGTCAGTCAGTCAGTCAGTCAGTCAGTCAGTCAGTCAGTCAGTCAGTCAGTCAGTCAGTCAGTCAGTCAGTCAGTCAGTCAGTCAGTCAGT